TGCTAGAGGAGAATATGAAAGTACCATGGACTACTAAATGAACAAATTGATTTGTATTGGAAGAAGTAAGGCCAGAGTGCTCCTCAGAAGCAAGGGTGGCTAGACTTCATCTTGCATACTTTTAGACATATTGTCAGGAGAGACCAGTCTCTGGAGAAGGACATTATGGTAGTTACATAATCTGTTGTCCATTTGAGACTATTACAAGTGAAGGGGTGGAGTTTCACCTGTCAATCAGGTCACAGCTTGATGACCTCATTTGGAGGTGCTAAGGTGATAAATAGCTCACTGGAGACGGGACGCATACTCACTCCCTGTAAAACATGAATGATGATGAGCCTGATGCAGCTACATGGATGCAGCCAGAGTCCTGGAGCTGGAGGAGCCAGTGTAGACTCACACCAGCACTGAGATGCTTCTGTCCACTGGATCCACAATACTTTCATCCACTGGGATGTGATCTTCCTGCATTCAGCATCATTGCATGTATTTCATGAGTCTGAAGAGGAATTTGTAGATTGGTATCAGGCATGTGGTCTAATATCAGACTTATGGACTTCATGGGTACTGGGCTGGGATGTCTTATCAATATTCAATTGCCCTTGTATATAAAGCTCTGTCTTATACACATGAGTGTCTATGGATTTGTTTCTCTAGTCTACACAGGCATCATGCTTGGTAAAGTGGAGGAGCGGTGAAAAAGAGGAAGACCCTAGAGGAAAAGGATTGACAGAATGGCTGCATCAATGGGCTCACGCATAGGAACAATTGTGAGGATGGCACAGGACTGCATAGTATTTCATTCTGTTGTGCATAGGGTCGCTGTGGGTCAAAGCCGTCTTTATGGCACCTAACAACACCATTGTAGCCCTTTTTCAAGAACTTTCAATTCTCAATTTAGGCCATTTCAATCTATGGTTTAGACGGACAGTTTTTAACAAGGCCAGAAACACACATCTGCTTACTTTACTAAGTATGACTTATAGCTTGTCATAGATTAGCCCAATAACTGACATTTTTCAATTTGTTTCTCATGCTTAAAAAACAATACCAAAAGGGAAAACACACAAAGAAATACCCTTGGCTTAAGCTTTTATTTAGTCATCAACTACTTTAGGAGTTTCCACTACATTATATGCTACAGCACTACCAGTTGTTATCAAAATTATGGTAACCGCAGGTGTGTCAGAGTAGACCTGGGCTCAATGGGGTGTCCAATGCTCTCCTGAGATCCTGAGAGAGATACAGGAAGGGACTCCTGGAGAGTATCTCTGGTCAAGATGCAAAGAATTAGTAGACAATGACTAGAGGAGGAGAGAGTTCCATCCTGGTTCATTTCACCTTCAATTCTTCCTTCTCCCTCTTTCCCCAGACTTGCCCCCTGGAACTTTCTCATTATATACGCTTCCTGTTTTTTCCTGCTGGCTTCTCATAGATGTGTACATAAATCTGTAGTGCACACGGGCATGCTTTTAGACAAAATTTATTCTTGTATTAAGACACCAGTATTATTTTCAAAAATATGTATGAATCATTAAAGAGAAAAAAGAAGAAAATACAGACTACAAGAATTTATCTTTCCAACTTATTTACATTTAATAACACAATGTTGAAGGAAATGCCACATGATAGGAATTTAGTAAATTCCCATTGCTTGGCTAGCTTGTTGGCTATGTGAATTGACTGACAGGGTAGCTGGCTGGCCAGATGTTGATTGATTGGCGGGATAGCTGCTTGGTAGATTGGTTGGTTGATAAATAAAAAGAGTGTTAGCTTTAAATGAAAACAAGCTCACTGCCAGTGAGTCTATTCTGACTCATAGCAACCCTATAGGACACTGGTAGAACTGCCCTGTGGGTTTCCAAGACTGTAACCCTTTGAAAGTTAGACTTCGTTTACTTAGGATTCTGACATTTAACTAATTCTATTATACTGAACAATCAACTATGTTCTACAACTCTCAGTCCATCCTATAAGACAGAATCATTCACATAGGATTGTTGTATGAAGCCTTAGCATGGTACCTGCATTAGAGAAATTGTTCATTTGTGTATGAGGAAGTACCCCAAAAAAACTCTGGAATCGCACTAGGTGGAGCTTTTATAGTAAGCAGTTTTCCCAGTAGGGGAGTATCAAGCAACTCTCTCCGAGTTAGTGCACCCTGTGGCATCACTTGGAAAGGTTCTCTTGGTCACAGTAAATTTTTTTTTTGTAAAAGCAGTTTCACTCTAATCTTGTTTTTTGTGATGGCTGGATTTAAGAGAATAGCATGTGGCTATGAAATTTTGTTTCCTGCTTGGAAAAATGCCACAGAATCTTGTGATATTGACCACAGCTTACACAGACAGCATGATGGGGATGACTTGATTGTATGAGTGGTTATCTCATTTCAAAAAGGGTGAAAAATTGATTGATGTTAAACCTCGTTCTGGATATCCATCAACTCCCAAAGGTTGAAAATCTCGACACATAATGCATTTGGAATTCATCCCACCAGGTCAGAATGTTAATCAAGCTTTCTATTTAGAGGTTCTGAAAAGATCGTAACAGTTTGAGACAACGAAGTCCTGATTTGTGGCATGGGGACTGGTGTTGCTGCCACCACTATGCACCTGCTCATGCAGTCATCTCATTGCACCAGTTTTGGGCAAAAACGCTGCATGCCTCACTTGTCCCATGCACCTTACTCACCTGACCTCGCTCTGTGCTATTCTTTTGGTTTCTGTGAATGTGGAGAGACGGGAAAGGACAGAGATTTGATGACATAGAAGAGGTGAAGGAAAAAAACAAGGGAGGTTCTTTTTTTTTATTTTTTTATTTCCTCCTTTGCTTTATTTGCCGTTAATTCTTTTTTTTTTTTTTAAACATTTTATTAGGGGCTCATACAACTGTTATCCCAATCCATACACACATCAATTGTGTAAAGCATATTTGTACATCATTTCTCAAAACATTTTCTCTCCATTTAAACCCCCGACATTAGGTCCTCATTTTTCTCCTCCCTCCCCGCTCCCCCCTCCCACATGAGCCCTTGATAGTTTATAAATGGGTATTTTGTCATATCTTGCCCTGTCCGACTTCTCCCTTCATCCACTTTTCGGTTGTCTGTCCCCCAGGGAGGAGGTCACACACAGTTCCATGTAATCGGTTCCCTCTTCCCTACCCATTCTCCCTTTACCCTCCCTGTTTTGCTACTCACACCACTGGTCCTATAGGGCTCATCCGCCCTGGAGTCCCTGCATTTTCAGTTCCTATCTGTACCAGTGTACCTCCTCTGGTCTAGCCAGTCTTGCAAGATAGAATTCGAGTCATGGTAGTGGGAGCGGGGAGGAAACCTTTAGGAACTAGAGGAAGGTTGTATTTCTCATCATTGTTACATCGCACCCTGACTGGCTCATCTCCTCCCCGAGACCCCTCTGCAAAGGGATCTCCAGTGGCGGGAGGTTCTATTAGCCATCCAAACAGATGAGTTTGGAAAATATTTCCAAGAATTGAATCGCAGATTTGACAAATGTATTAAGTGTAATGGAGAGCACTTTGAAGGTGATAAGGTTGTTTAATACAAATTTAAATACATAGCCTCTTTTTAGGTGGGGGGGGGGCGGTTGGGGAGAGCAGTGTGCCCCCTCATATGTCCACCATTTTAAAGGAGGAAAAACAGAAGAAGCTTGAGTGTTGTTTCTGAATGGATCAAAATCAGTGGAAGTAAATGGTCACTCTGTGCCCAAATGTTAGCTCCATTAATTTTAGACCTTTAAATATGTTCCTGCTGAATATATACATCTGACAGGCAAGAAGTATATATGTCCGAGAAAAGGATGACATAAGTGGAAAACTCATAGGCCAACTCTTTTTCCAAGATTAAAACTCAGTCCTACTTCACCACCTTCCTCTCTCACTCTGCTCAGTGCCTTCTCATTGGATTATTACAGGATGGTTTTAGACAGTAATTTTCTCTCTCCAAAACCAAAAAAATGTGTTATATTATTGCTTGGCATGGCAGGCTGTGGTTACACGAGTATTTGCAGTATAATCAACATGTTATTTTGAACATATGTGGTTTTGGTCTTTTTCTGAACACATGAATATATATAAACACACGGGGGCAAAATGGCACGTGAGAATGGGATAGGATAGGATAACACAAGTTGGATCCATAACATAAAGCGAAAGGACTACATAAGCAATTAAGCCCACTGGTGAAAAAGAGGAGGTGAAGTTAATTTCACCTACTCTGGTGATTTAGTGGTTACACTTTGGGCTGTTAACCACAAGGTCAGCAGTTCAAAACTACCAGCTGCTCTGCAGGAGCAAAATGGAGCTTTCTACTCCCGTGAAACGTTAATGTTCTCAGAAACTGACAGGCACAGTTCTACCCTGTCCTATAGGGTCACTATGAATCATCTCGATGGCAGTGAGTTTGGGTTTTGGTGGAGTGGCTCTCTCCATACCAAAATCCATGGCCATCACACAGATTCTGAACGTAGAAAGCATTTTTCACTATAGGACAAAGTAGAACTGCTCCTTAGGGCTTCCAAGAGTTTAGATCTTTATGGGAGCAGTCTCACCTTTCTCCCTAGGAGCAACTGGTGGGTTTGAGCCACTGGCAGGCCAGTAGTTAACCCACTGTGCCATCAAGTCCGCTTCCCTGCCATGTGGTGGGTGGCTAATGTTGGAACGTTTTCTCTTCCCTCTCGGTCCCCTACCCTGCCTCCAGTCTGCTTAGATAGCTCCTGTGCCCAGCATCACTGAAGGTCAGGATCTTTACATGCCACCTGCCACTATGCGGCATAAAGAACTGGTCCCTGTGGCCAAGCTTCAGTTAGTAGAGCCCCGTTGAACGGGCACCCCACCCCATCTCCTCCAGTCATTGTGGTTAACATTTGTACCACTTGTGCAGGTTCTCACAGCTAGCTTCCTTGGTTTCTTTATTAAATTGAAGAAATAAAGTCTAGAATTACACAGCTTTAATTCTAACAAGGAGCATTTGTTTTTTGCAGCGCCGACTAGGAGACGCAGCAAAGAAAGCCATCAGCAAGCTCCAGGTCAGGACCATCAAGAAGGGTGACAAGGTAACATTCCTCCTGCCTTTGGGTGAGCTGCTGTTCAGAGATGCTCTCGATATTTCTGGATAGAAGAGCGGGAGGAGAGAAGGGGGTGGTGGTGTATGCTAATAGCAATCATGCAAGGATAGTGTCTATTGCTTACTCCAATCTCTATTAAATAAACTGTAAAGCAATTTATGCAATGCATACAAGAGATAAGAACAGAGTTAGATAGAAAAAAATAAGAAATTGAAAAGTGCTGTTTGCAAAAGTCAGTATGAAATTAATATGTTAGTACAATTAGTAAGTGGTATAAATACATCACCTGGATCACAGAGATTGGTCCTGAGTCTAGATTGGTGCTTTTAGACAGTCAGTACAAAGGAGGAGACAATACTCATTTAGTTCAGTTCTTTAAAAGGTGTGTGTGGGGGGAGAACAAAAGTGTATTCCTGCTATTATGTTTCTCCATAAACCCTTACGAGGAAGATAGAGCGCCCCACCGGGCAATGTCCCCCACTTAGGTGCACAGTGAATGCAGGGAAAATTTCCATCTCCGATACTGAGAATGCAGAACCCGGTGTCATTGCTCAGACCCCTGGTAGAGTGGCGGGTATGTCGGGCTGATAACTGCTAGGTGAGCAGTTGGAAACCACCAGCCGTTCCACAGGAGAAAGAGGAGGCTTTTTATTCCCATAAACAGTTACAGATATGCCTGGCGTGTTGACTTCTTTGCTGTGATTCAGCATTTCTGCGGGGCCTTGTAGGACTTTCCTTTTCTTTCAAGATGGAGTTGCTTGTGTTCATTTCATCGTCTTGCAAGGCAGTTCTTTGTTGCTCTCATCAGGCCCGTAGACTCTGAAGCTCTCTCTTATCCCCAGGAAAAGTCTGAGAGTGGTGGCTACCTGAATGTGGGCTTTGGCCTCCGTTCTTCAGTAAGTCCATGATGACCCCATATAAGATTTCCAAGGCTGTGCATCGTTACAAAAGCAGACAGCCTCGTTTTCCTCCTGCAATGCAACTGGTAGGTTTGAACAGCCAGCCTCAATGTTTGCAGCTCAATGTTTACCCAACAGTGTCAGCGCAGCTCCTTGGAGGCGGTTAAAGAATTTGCAATCCTCCATTTATCCTGAGGGTCATCTCTAGTCAAATTGATTTGTCTCACAAATATGTACTACTATTTTCAACTATATAAAAGTACTGTTGACTTAATAAGTTAAAAAGCATTACTGAATGTTATTGTCTGTTTTATTGTTAAGCACGCTCCCTGCCCCCAATCAGAGACTTACAAAAATGCAGGAACTGTTACATAAGTAATAAATTTGAGTGCATGAAAAGAGGTTTATATACTAAAAAAATGAAACCATTATTTTAGAGTTCTATACACTAGATTCTAAAGAAATAGAGAGGTACAATAATATTCAGATAATTTTTAATTATCATTTCTCACCCTCAAGATTTGACTGTGTGTCCTCCAATAATTGTAGCAAATAGCGTTATTAATAATTGGCACATGAGAATATTGTTTTTCTCACAAAAGCACTTTCAGTGGGACCCAGAAGCAGTAAGCTGAGGTTGGGAGAAATGGAAACTAACCCAACCTGAAGTAAATTATTGATGGAGAAAATTGGCACCAGGGCCGCTGAAAGCTTTGCACAGGGCAGGCTCACCTTGGGTCTTTATGTAAGAGTTTAATGAAGAAAGTAGCTGATCTGTGCTTTCTCTGTTGCAGGAAACAGAGCCTGATTTTGATAACTGTGCGGTCTGCATTGAAGGCTACAAGCCTAACGATGTGGTCAGGATCTTGCCCTGCCGGTGAGTCACTAGTTGCTGGTGAAGACAGGGTCTTGTCTGAAGAGAGCCTGGTCAGCCTTGTTGGCTCAGACCTGCTCAGCCCAGCCCTGCCAGGTTGGTGTGTCTAAACATTTCTATGTTTACACTGCCAAAAGCCAAAAATCTGGTTCCTTCTGCATAACCTCGATCCTTGAATATATTTTTGTCTCATGAAATTGGAAATCTGCTTCTGATCCCCTTTGCATCAAAGAAAACCCACTGCTATGAACTAATATATATAGTTCATAGAACTAATATAATATACATATAATGCAGAAGCTGAAGATATGGCTCCATGGAAGGGTTTTCTTTAACAATGAATGTGTGATATTCAGAAGCATTTTCAAGTGTAGTTTAATTAAAATAAACTCTTAAAATAGTTTTACAAATGATTGTGAAGGATCCGAAACTCAGGACACGGTCAAGAGCTTATTGGAAGCCCAAAGCAGATTCCATGCCCCTATCCGATTCACTAGCAGGAAGCAGAGGGAGCCCAGATGGTGTAGTGGGCTCCACACTGAGCTGCTAATTGCTAGGTCAGCAGTTTGAATGCACCAGCTGCTTCATGGGAGAAAGATGAGGCTATCTACTCCCATAAAGATTTGCAGTCTCAGAAACCCAAAGCAGTAGATCTACCCTTCCGTATAGACCTGCTATGAATCAGAATCAGGATGACAGTGAGTGAATAGGAAGAGAATTTGGCAATTCCTCTCAAATTCTAGAACCCAAAAGCAGGTGCCAGCATGTAGAACACTAAGCTCTCTCCCTAACTAATATTCACTATTACGGTATCAGAATATTTTTAATTGCTAAAATAATACTAAATATTTTTCAGTCACCTTAAAACAGTTCGCCTATCCATTGAAAACCTGGTTTTAGGGGTTCTGTTTCTGTGAAATGTCTTAGCACTAAAAATTGAATGTATACTTTGAAGAAAGATTTCCCAGCTCGAAATAACTACCCTTCAAAGGTTATACTTAAGAGTATATAGACAGCTAACATGATGCCACATAATTCATATAGCAGGGGAAACAAACATCACAATGATGTCGCGCAGTCTGCTCATAGAACAAGACAGCTTGAAGCATTACTTAGAAATACAAAATAAATGCCAGTGTAATTTGGGATGAATTGGTTTGATTCTCCTAATTAATTAAAGTCCACTCTGACTCCTAGCCACCCCACAGGACAGAAGAGAACTACCCCTTTGGGCAGTAAATTTTTGCGGGAGCGGAAACCTCATCTTTCTCCCTGTGTGGCTGGTGGGTTCAAACGGCTGATCTTTCAGTTAGCAGCCCAATGCATAACCCACTGTGCACCAGGACACCTTTAGGGTGAAAGGGCTCCAGGCAAATGATCACTAGGAAAACAGGCCTTGAGAAAGCATACCCTGAGGGCCCAGCCAGAGCTTCTAACTCGTCCTTGGTTTATGGAGACTTGATCTCTAAGACAAAATTGTAATAAGGGAAGCAAAACACTTTGTGGTTTCCTTCTCTACAAGTACCCTTTCCAAACACTGCACTCGGTGTACACTCAGTGATTTCTAGAAAACGGTCCAAGGATGGCAGTGTGTGCGCGGCACACAGCCTCCTAGGCTGACAGCATCCGGCTCGATTATGAAGGGTTTTCACAAACCTCATTGTTTTAAGCAAAGACAAGTGCTCTCCTTACTCTTTTGACTTAGACTTTGATATGAGCGCTTTAAGGGTACCGGTAATTAAACATTTTAAAACCTTTTAAATGGCCATTGCAAATTAAAGTTAAATAGCAACTTTTTCCCTAAGGATTTAGAACCTTTTGCAGGTGAAATTAGGAAAATCTGCCATTAAATGTATATGCGGCATTATGTTAGCTGTACCATCCATTAAATATTAAATAATTTGTTCACTTGGTCTCTCCTGAGTATTCTTGGACTGTGCCTTTTTGACCTGATTATTCTGCTTCTCCGTTCAGCTCTTGATTCTTTGTGCTTCAAGTTCCTTACTGTCCATCCGGCTTGTATTTCCTGGCTGTGGAGCCTGCTTTAAATCACAATATGCAATGAGCATTATAAAACACTCGTGATAGTTAATTACTGTTTGATATTATACCAGCCACACACATCCACGTGTTGAATAGCATGTCTACTCTGTTTTTTCCATGCTGGTTTAAAATCAGGCTAGTTCAATGCCCTTTGCTGGGTTTTGCTCGACATGTTCACTGATGGAGATCATCAAACAATGCACTGGCATTGGCTTCTTAGTAGATCTTTCCTCTGGGGTATTATGAAGCCTGTACTCCTTGAACTTCGTAGGCTCACTTTCCCATTATTTCCAGGCTGACTCATCCCCTGAATTCTTTACATCTCTGTGGAATAAAATAGTTTTAAAAAATATCCCACTTTCTCTCATACTCTTTTCTGTGGGTGCATAACTCCTGACGTAACTCCCCATTCATCTCTTTCCTATTGTCGTCTTTCTGAGCTACATAGGTGTATGCTTGTATCTCAACTTCTTCGACATCATCTTTTCCTTTTTCTCTTTTGGAGACCCTGACATAAATGATGAAGGGTTCATAAATGTGTTCCCATCTTTATTTTAGTCACGGCAATCATTGACATGAAGTCAGGCAGATGTACCTACCAGCTCACTCTTCCCTCGCACCTGAAGGCGAAGCCTTCTGATGTGGTCTGGGCATGTCATTTGAGGGAGGGAACCACAACTGCACGCAAAAATCACAAAGTTTACTTCGATGTTTTGAGTTGATCTTAATATACAACTAAGGTACTCTCCAAGGAATTTTGGGTTTGCTCCAATAAATGTGTGCCATATTTTCATTATACAATATTTAGGGGTGGTATTGGTCATAAAAGGAGCCTTGGTGGCGTGGTTGCTGTAGCATGCTCACCTCAGCCCCACTTGGTGGTCCACGTGAAGAGAGAAATATTTAATGCTAACTAAGGCTTTTATATTCTCTCTCTCTCCTGTGTGGTCTGGGCAGATCTGCTACTTTCCCTGGGCTGTTTCTTTAGTGCTGGTCTCTTTAATGCATTCTTCTGGGGAGGGGATCAGCCTCGCTAGGACTGGTACAGCCCTGCAGACCCTCTGCTACATACAGATATGTTGCCCTCAAGGCTTGGTGCCTCAGGGTGAGGTCTGGTCCCTTTCTTGCTTTCCTGTGGAGACATGAACAATGCCCACCCCCTGTGTGGGTTAGTGCCCTGATCCCCCACTATCCACATCCTCCTTTTTTTACTTTTCCCTATCTCCTGCTTTTGAGTGGCTGCTATATTCATACCTTGGTTGGGTCCAACCCCTGCTAGAGTGATTAGACCTTACCCTAGGAATTTATTGATGTGGTGGCTTTTCCCCTATGGCCCTTGTGCTTTTTAAACTTACCTCAGTGGACTCATGTTGTACTTGTCCTTTTGTGCTTGCCTTACTTTGCTTAGCATAATTTCCTACAACTCTTCCCATGCATCAGTGTGCATCATGCAGTCATCATGGTTTTTTTAGGAATGTATAGTACTCTATTGAATGTATGTACCACAGTTTTTTAATTCATTTGTCAGTTGATGGAAATTTAGACTGTTTCCAATTCTTTGCAATTGAGAACTGTGTTGCAATGAACATTGGATCACAGAATTGTGGCTGTGGCCTGTTTCTTACTTCTTCTGGGCATATGCCCAGTAGGGGGATTGCTGGGTCATATGGTAGCTTGATTTCCATTTGTTTCAGGTATCGACAAATTGATTTCCAAAATGGCTGCACAGACATACAGAACCACTGGCAGTGGGTGAGAGTTACTATCTCACCACATCCCCTCCAACACGTGTTACTTTCTGATTTTTTGAATGGGGCTATCTTTGAGGGTGTTAGGTGGTATCTCATAGTTGCCTTGATTTTCATTTCCCTATGGCTAGTTGCAAGGGAAAGCCTGCCCCTAGCACATCATCATGGGTCTGGAAGGCACAGTTGTACAGTGATAATAAGTAAAGATTATAGGAAAGTCATAAAAAATCAGAGATAGAAGAGAGATTAAAATAATGGAGTCAGACACATTTCATGGTAGCATGCTCACCTCAGCCCCACTTGGTGGTCCACATGGAGAGAGAAAATTTAATGCTAACCAAGGCTTTTATATTCTCTGGGGACCTGCAAGACCCCTAATTACAGGTGAAGACATACATCACAGGAAGGGGTTGTGCTATAGGTAATACAGTAATGGGAGGGGGTTGAACTAGGGGTATCCACGTAATATGAAGAGGAGGGATTGGGGTATACATGTAGCAAGATGGGTGGATCCTAGATACAGGATGGCAGCCTAACTTTGGATGTCACTAAGTGGGTTTGATCTGTTCTCTGGATCTTCATAAGAACCATTATCAGTAAGGTGTAAACTCCACCTATGGGAACCAAACTAATGATCACAAGCCTCAGGGAGAAGTAGCCCATTGTCCCCAGCAGCAGGGAGCAGGCCCACTTGTGGTGGGATGGGACACCAGTCTGACAGCTGATTGCCTCAAAGGAAGTAACTTTTACCATTAGCAGCAAGCAGTGTCCTAAGTCTAACATATTTGGGGGAGACAAGTTGGGAGAAATCTTTCTGTTTCCCACAGCTAATGATCAGGATCATTTTCTCATACGTGTATTGGCCATTTGGATTTCTGCCCCTGTGAAACTTCTGTTCAGGTCCTTTGCCCATTGTTCAGTGAGCTATTTGTTTTTTTTCTTATTGCAGGCTAGCAGAGCATTGTAGGTCTTAGTAATAGGGACTTTGTCTGATGTGTCATTGCTAACGATGTTTTCCCAGGCTGTGGGCTCTCTTATTACTCTCTTGGCAAAGTCTTTCAATGTACACAGGTGTTTTATTTTCATTATAAAATTCACTTGTCAATTTGTGCTTTTCCTGTGTTTGTGTAGTTCCCTATTTCCAATAGTTTACGTTTTCCCTGTGCCAAAGTTGTTAGGTTTGTCTCAATTCCCTCATTGATGGCGCTTGTA